ATATTTTCCTTTCCGGGGGTATGCTTGATTACCAGATTATATTCTTGTAGCTTGAGTGCCCATCTTATTAACCTTGGGGATAAATTTTTCCCTGAGTACAATCTAGTTACCGCCGCATGATCAGAGTACACTGTTATCGGCGCCTTTTCAAAATAGACTCGGAACTTTTGCACTGCTAACAGAACTGCAAGTGCCTCTCTCTCGGTCGCGGAATAGTTTCTTTGTGTTTGATTTAAAGTTCGGCTAAAAAATGCCACGGGCTGCTGATTTTGCGAAAGTACCGCTCCTACCGCATAATCCGAAGCATCCGCTGAGATTTCTAAATTCTCATCCTTTTCAGGAAATTTCAACACAGGGGCTTGCGTTAATGCTTGTTTTAATTTTTCGAAAGCACTATTGGCTTCGGCCGTCCACGAGAATCTTGCCTTTTTCCTTTTTAATTTTAACAATGGCTCCGCGATAGCCGCAAAATCTTTTATAAAGGACCTATAATATGAACAAAGTCCTAGAAAAGAAGAGAGCTTCTTTGCCGTGTTTGGAGTTGGATACTTTTGTACAGCGATTATTTTTTATTCATCTGTCTCGATCCCTTTTTGAGATATTTGTAACCTAAATATTTTAATTCAGGGGCTGCAAATTTGCACTTTTCGACATTAACTTTTAGACCGGCCTCATTTAATAAGGAAAATACCTGTCTTAAACCCTGTACATGTTGGTCAAGATTATCACTAGTAATAATGATATCGTCTAAATAGATAAATGTGGACTTTCCAAGAACAGGTCTTAACACAATGTCCATGCATCGCTGAAATGTTGCCGGGGCCCCTGAAAGGCCAAACGGCATACGCAAAAATGCATAAGTGCCAGACTTGGTTATAAAAGCAGTCTTAGGCACGTCCTCACACCTAACCCCTATTTGAAAATAACCAGTCGTTAAGTCTAAAGTCGTCATAAATATTTGGTAGAATTTTATGTTTCCTTAAAATTTCTTCTAATAATCGGTAACGGATATACCGGATATTTAGTTATGGAGTTTAATTTACGGTAGTCAATAGCGAATCTCCACCTTTTTGGATGTGTCCAAAGGATAATCATTATTTTTCTTACATAAACCACCGGGCTAGCATAACTACTTGAGATGGGCGTTATGATCTTTTTACGTAGCATATCGGTATATGCCATTCTATAATTTTTTCTTTATTCTTATCATACCGTATCGTATACGGTTTTGTGGCGAACTGGCATTGAATCTCCGGTGTCAATACTATGGTTAGTAACCTGAGTAAATCCGTGGAATATCACTAAATAACGAAGCAAATTCACTTACCACTTGTCGGATTCTTCTTGTTGCTCGTCATTAGGCAGGTGGTCAAGTTTTAACATCGGCGGTTCAGCGTTTTTTTCTTCGTACGAACTGGTTTCATTGTCAGCTTAAGGGACGCTTCATTAAAATCCAGTGTTGCTTGTGCGTCTGAAAGAAAATCTATCCCTAAGATTAAATGTGCTTGCAGATTCTTTACTATAAAAAACATCACCTTTACTTGTTCGTCCTTGATACGGATATACAAAGGTACTTTACCTATGCACTTACATTTTTCTCCTTGCGCCGCTAACACTGTCGTATTATCCGAATTATATATGCGGTATTTGCGAAAATACTTCCTAAAAAATTCTTCTGCCACACAGGAAACACTGCGCGCCTGTATCCAGGAGTGCGGTGGCTGGGATATTATTCACCAAGACTTCAATCTTCGGAAGAGTCAGATTTTTCACCATTACTGTATTTAACTTGTAGGAAGAGGGGTTTTCGTGACCTTCGGATTTCCGCACCTCTCGTCAGCAGAAATCCGTTTTAGTTTAAATTATTTTTCCTTTCCGTGCTTTCCTTCTTTTTCCACTGGCCTTGAGACTTTTTTCCTGGGTTGCTATTGAACTGTCGACGTTCGCCGGCTGTTTTTGAATGCTCGGGTTTCCTTGCCCACTGATTCGCTTTTTCTCCGTAGCCGTGTACTTGAGTTTCCTGTAGTCTTGGCGTACCAAATTGGTTTCGTTGTTGATATTGGCGTCTTCTTTCGACGTCCGCCGTTCTTCTACTTTCAAACTGGATTGCTAGCTCAAATAACTTTTCCAGTGTAGTCGGATTTCTTAATTCAATAAAGTCTTGCACTTGGGGTAGTAACCTCGGCAAAATCACTTGAATTATTTCAGGATTCGGACGGTTTCCATACAAGAGCTTGAAAATGTGAATTTTTCTTAAAATAAAGCTCGAGAGTTTTTCGATTCTTTGTTGATATATACTGAAAAGTTCCGTTTCTAATTTCGCACGATCCCTTACAACAGGGAAGGCTTTTAGTAGGGCAGTCTTGAAATTTTCGTAAGTATAGGTGGGACTTCCTGCTTGACCCAAGAGACTTCTGCCTATACATTTGAACCAGTTAAGCGCTTGGTCCCTCAAAGCGCTGGTAGCTAAGGTAAATTTTTGAAACTCGTGCACGGGGTAGAGCATGAAGTGGTCATCCAATTTTTCCAAAAAACTGGTTACCGGTGAGTTTCCATTAAATGTTGCTTCTGGTTTCATCGAAGCGCGCATGGTCTGGACGATGTAACCAAATCCTTCCTGGGCGGCAGCTGGCATTTCTGGGTTCTGAGCCGTTTCTGCAGGCAGCACAGGTTCTTCTTGAAACTCGGCCATGGTTATTCTTCTTCGTTGGGCGCCACTATCAGGGTCAATGTTCCTTCTTACCTTCTTCGGGAACATACAAGTACCTGACTCGGAACTTAGCTTACTAAAGCTATGTTCACTAATTGTGGTAAGTAGACAGGATACAGACGAAGGGTATACAAAACCCTTTATTTTTCTCTATATACAATAACTTCTGTACTTCGGAATACACTGACCCGCTACTTGGGGTCTAACGTAAAAGTATAAAAATAAAAACTAAACTCTAATTTAACTTTAGAATAATAAACGTGGAAGATTGGCCTTATAATAACAGGAAGCGTATGTAGTACAGAGACTGTGAACACTACAATACGTTTAAAATTTATCAAGAGGATTAAAACCTCTGGCCTGGAAGGCAAACAGCAACTGCGTAACTTCTAAGGTAAGCGGGCCTGCTTTGACTCACTGCTTCCGCTCTCTCGCTTGGCAAAGGCCACAACTTAAATACTTGGCGTTCGCCAGACAAACTTTGCATAAAAACCTTAACGCTTATAATTCTGGCCGGAAGTAGAAAATAAGAAGTGATAGTAAAGATTTAAAATAAAATAAACGTTAGTAAAACTTAAGATCCTTACAACTTCTTCCTGTGAGGTTTGATTAAAGACAACGTTTATGTACCACAACTCCCACAGAACCTGGAAGAGGTGAAGAACCGGATCCGTACTGTCATAACATCCGTGACGACGGACATGCTTGCCCGAGTATGGGAGGAGTTTGAGTATCGATGTGATATTGTTCGTGTAGCTAATGAGGGACATATTAAACATTTATAGCCTGAACTGGAGAGGTTCGTACGTATGTTTGTAAAGTTTCATATTCATAAGTCATACGGTTTAATAAATATATGCATTCGAAATACGTATATTCTTTTTGAAACACGCTGTATTTAAAGTTTTTAATTCTAGTGTAATTTACGTAATTTTACGTTCTGACTTTTGCGAAACCAAAATTTTTTCTATTTAAAGAGTTTTCAAAATTTTCGGGTTTACATGTTTAGATTTTAGGATTAAGCTATTCGCTAATGGAGAAATTATATATGAGTAACTTCTGTGGCAATGAAAAATAAAAGTCAGATAATGTTCATAAAAGATTTTCATTATGCATGTATACCAGGATTTGTTCATCAGATAGCAAAATGTGAATTACGAGCATTTGTCTGTATATTGTGAAAGTACGGATTCTGTTGGAATAAAATGGCTTTTGATGATTCTTAACTGTGACAAAGTCACTCAATATTGTAGAGACATTAGGTATTTTTGCAGCGTGCAGGCTACCACACCACGAAGGCACGCCAAGAAGGTGGGGAAAAATACCTTATAACGTGTTCGATAACATCATAAGTGATTCGTAAAGAAATGCAGTGTGATCAGACATGTTTAAAACACATTGAATTTTCTCATGTATATGTAATGAATAGGCATGGGAGCTTTCGAAATGAAAGCAGCCAAGAGTTAAAATTCAGATAACAGTTTCTGATAAAGCATATTTTTTAAATTACTTATTTTCTGGTCATTAACTTGGGTAAGGAATTCATATAATGAAACGATTGAACAAGCTACATATAAACTCGGTATTCGTAAATACCTATTGATAAAAATAACGAAAAAACGTTTCATATAGGCTTCATACCAGTGTTATTTGTTATTATATCATAAATTTGTATCATGGTTTGCGAACTGGAACTGGACTTAAAAGTCATTTTTCAGGGTAATACACATGATACAGATGTTTGAGCAAGCCTAATTCACATTTTCATATACAAAAATCTCAAAAACATGGCATGTAGTATTTTCATAGAGCTGCAATAAATGCTGCAATTAACAAGCTGCCGTATAAAGTATATCAAATCGTGAACCGATACTTCATAAACAGCTTTTTTCTTTAACATTTGCATTCAGTTTATGAAATTATGGTCAGTTTATTTGATTTTTAATAACGAAATAATTTTCTACATGAGATTTACTTACGAAAGACAAAAAAGCAGTTTGCAAATGCAAATATGGAAACAGTCTTTTAATTACTTATTGTTTTATTAACCCAACGCAAATATGAAAATAGTCGTATTAACCATTGCAAATTAATCCAATGCAATACGAAAGCAGACATTTATTAAACTATGTGAATCCTATAGAGAAAAACTCGCTATCAGTGGTAAAAATTACAGGTGGAAAAAATGGCGTCTGCCGAAAATGTGTTCCGTTTCTGAAACTACCGATTAACATTTCAAGTTGATGCTTGAGATAAAACAGACGCAACACGTGGAAATTCCCACATCACCAGGATATCACGATCAAAGAATTTCCTGCTGCATATAAATATCGAGGGTTTTTCTGAAGGCTTTCATAGTTAAAGCAGACGGACTCGTCAGGAGAAAATGAAAGCATTTGCCTCAGTTTTGATTGTTGCTGTATTGGTGGCCGTATGTTATGGTCGGCGTAAGTACTTTCTCGTTTTCATTTTTCAGTTGTTTACTCATGTATGTCCTTTGGTAAATGTTTATGATTGAATAAAAAGTAATTTTAGCTACAGTCGGTCAATGTGCAATACGAAACGTAAAATTCTAGTAATATATTTATTGCTAGCGTATTTGTGACTGAATTTACAGATAATAATACTAGTATCCTGGAAATATTGACCAGCTTTCTTCATTTGCTTTGTGTCATAAAAATGTGATTATTCAATTTATGAATGCAAAATATTTGAAATTATTTTATATGTATGTCAAATATTCCGCATAGCATGAATTTGGAATTTGGTTTTAATTTTGTTATTGAAATTTTATCTCACGCACTTTATGTTCATCAGTTTTTGAAAACAGCATTACTTAAGCTTCTTACTTTTAAATCAGTAATCAAAACCAGTAACTAAGTTTTAAACCAGTAAATCAAAAAACTAATTATCTTTGCTTTAAGAGGTAATTTTGCCAAAAGAATTACTGATAATCATTTTTAAATGCAGTGTGAAATATAAATACGGTATCTTTCCAGAGAATATCTACCTCACTAGTGGCCGAGGGATTTAGGCACGATTCGTGCTTTCAAGACTAGTGGTTTTCCTATGTGTAATGTTATAAGGTATTTCTCCCTCTTTCCTAGCGTGCCTTCGTGGTGTAGTGGTTCTGTACGCTGGGCCGGTATTCCAGAGGTCCGTGGTTCGATTCCCGGCGTAGGCGGTTGCTAATTTTTCATCTTTTCCTGCTTCCAAAAAATACATAATGTCTCTACAGTGGCACCCAAACTAAAAGGGTCTTGGATGAGGATTCTCCACACTCAGGATTTGGCGATTGGGTCCCCTAAAAACCCGAGTCGCCCTTTAAAAAGGGGAGTATATAAGTTATTTCTCCCTTTTTCCTAGCGTGCCTTCGGGGTGTAGTGGTTCTGCACGCTGGGCCGGTATTCCAGAGGTCCGTGGTTCGATTACCGGCCAAGGCGATTGCTAATTTTTCATCTTGTCTGCTTCCAAAGAATCCTAATGTCTCTACAATGGGAACTTAGGCCAGTTTCCGTTAAGAAATCCTGCACAAAAGAATCTCTCGTCCTAGGTATATACATATATCCTTGTATTCTTTGCCATAATTAAGGACTCTATAAAATTGTACGCTTATTTAAGTAACTGAGAGTGCATCTGTCATTATAAGCGTATAAAAAATCTTTAAATGATAATTGTGTTTTTATTTATCGCGCTACATCATTAGTTGCTTAATTTACTTTGTTTTCGATGTTGAAAAACAATATCCCTTACCACTTAAATGTTTTTAGGTTTGGTTATTTGGATAGGGTAAAGCATACGAGGGCTTTCTTAAGAAGAAAGATACGTCACCCATCGGAAAAAACACAAAATCTACATAAACAGCTCTTTCGTTGAAAATGAAAAACGAATCGAAGTAGTAGTCTTACCGTAATTTCATCGTTCGGGACACTTGTTTATTCTCACTTAAAGATAGTTTTTTCATAAATATGAAAATTGTCATTTTTGCATACTTACAATGACTCAGCTCATGTGCACAGAAGAAACTGACGAGCAGTATTTTATTCAATTCATGGTTTTTAATTTACATTGAATATTTTACGATACTTTAAGCATGCATGTTTATGACAGGGTTCTAAAATTGTATTCAAATAAAGAAATTATGCACAGTCCTATTACGTAACACATATTTTTGAAAAAAATCATTTCACTGATGCTAATCATATTTCATATAAAGTACATATTTTATAAAGTATTTGGTAAAATGAACTTATAATTCAACATTTTTCATTCAAAGAGAATAAGATGAAGACAAATTAAATTAAGATAAATTGTGTATTATAATGTTTAGACTGAGTATTAATTTTAAGTCAATTTGAGACCACAGAGTTATGACTTTAAATCGGATATCTTTTGACACACCCTTTATATTGTCTTGCATACAACTATTGTAACTTATTACATAAATTAGCTACATTTTGAAATGAGAATTTGTCAAAAGATATGATTAGAAAACGAGAGCACATTGTCCAAGACGTATTGTCTGATTTTTAAAGCATAAATAAAACACTGGACTATGAATAAATGAACGGAAGAAGAAGGGGAAAAAGCATAACATTTTATATACTTTAAATACTGTAAAGGGCCGTTCCCACTGGGGTTTATCTGAGTTAACGGAGACAACTGACGTAGCCGACCCATCTTCAAAACCAGTTTTTTTTTCCATAGGGCAGCAAGTTGAAAAATCTGAACTGCAGGCATAGCGGAGCTAGTCGACACAGGGAACTGACTCCGTTAGCTCAGATAAACCCCAGTGGGAACGGTCCATTAGAGGATTTGGAGGCCTCATTGAAAGTACAGGTACTGAACACGTGTTCCATCTGCCTCTGCGGAAATTGAACCCTGATGGGCAGATGACATATATCTGCACCACGAATGTCATCCGACCAAGCACCAAAAATGGCAAAATTGTTTCTAAGGTTATAAGGTATTTCTTCCGCCTTCTAAGCGTGCCGTAATTAATCCTGGATGTGCATGATGATTCTCCACACCCAGGATTTGGCGATTGGGTCCCCTAAAAACTCCAATCGCCCTTTAAAAGAGGGTGTATATAAGGTATTTCTCCCGCCTTCGTGGTGTAGTAGTTTGCACATTGGGCGCATATTTTAGAGGTCCATGGTTCGATTCCCGGCGAAAGCGTTGCTCATTTTTCTCATCTCCTGCTTCCAATTAACCTAATGAACCTACAAGGTGATACAAGGCAAAGGGCTCTTGAAAGCACCAAAACTTAACTAAAGATGTCCTTAAGTATTGATTTATTGTACCTTCTGTTTTTGTAAACTTAAAAATATTACGAATTCATAGGCAGGAAAAATAATTCTCCAGATGTAATTTCATATGACAAATGCTTACATATTTCCTAAATATTTTCTGAGTTAAGGCTAGAAAAAAGCAAAAACTATGAAAAATTATGCTATTCTTCAAGTCATGAAGAATAATGTATGTCACTTTCGAGTTAAATAAATATGGCCCCATAAAATAACGTAATTACCCATAATAAATAAATGTGTCCCTTCCGTAACACGTTTAGTTTTTCGTGAGTGTTTTGATATATGACATTCAAATCTGAATTTCACCTTCTCGAGATTTATAAGCTTGTTTATAGATTAATATAAATTTTCCAAACCTTCAAAGCTAAGTAAGATTATGATGGTACTATCTCATAGTCCAGAGAGATGACTAAGTTCTTATTTAAAATATTCCACATAAAAAAAGTCAATTTCGATTTTCTTAACATCTGTCTTTGGAATAAGTTGTTAACATTGAATTCAAGAGTTTTTTATTATATCGGTAAAACATTGCACTGTGCCTTGTTTATAAGTGGTTCCTGCGTGTCGGTAGTGTGTCGATCAAAACTTGTTTTTCAACAAAAAAAAAAAAAAAAAAAAAAATTCTAATGACTCTACGAGTTTAAGAGAGAAAAATCAGAATTTATGTGAACCGGGAAGTGTTGACCATTGTTTACAGTAACCGGAAAAAAAAAAAGGCGAGACAATTATTTAAGTAAATTTTTCGTTATCATTTTGTACTGTTGCACGTTTATAAATACCTCTGTATGAAAACATGATACTCTTATTTCATAGTATGCAGTCCTTTTGTTCATATAAATAAAGATGTCAAGGTTTTGTGAATACTAATAGTATTTTTCTGTATTTGGTTGGTCAATTATGGGAAAACATATGGCGGTTTATTTGCATAAAGAAGTGGATGCTTTCATCGACAAAAACGTCTGAAGAGAAAGTGAGTTTTGTGCGCATAATGCACGAGAAAAACTGTACAATTTGCTGTATTATATTGTATGTTTCTTAATGACTGAATTGTAAAATCAATTAATTGGCAAAGATGATTCGAAATATGCTTTGTCGTATCTTTTTTATAACTTTAAGTACACTTATTTAGAATTTTCTAAGTTTAAAATGTTTAAACGTTAAAATAAAATTTTTATAATAAAATTAAACTAGTATGAAAGGATGCTTTTAAAATATGTGATGTAGTGTTAGACATTGCTTTTAAGAAAACTCTTTTAAGCATTGTTGAAAGATGCAAATTAGAAACCCATTATTATCAATCCAAATATTTTTATGCACCAATTTATCATAAATTGTAATCTTGATCTGTAATTTTTTCCGGTTAATTGCTTTCAAGTACTTCAAGTTTTAGCTTCTTTCATTTCTATAAAGCCAACGCTGAAGCTATTATATAAGGAAAACCGAGATATCTCCCTAACTGCAGATACCTAACTGAAGATATAGCCTTCGTGGTACTCGAGATATTTACCTAACTAGAGATATAGCCTTCGTGTATGTCGTATAAGGACAAAGTAGCTCTTATTTACGTTATACATACAAAAAACCGCGAAGCACGTGTGCAGTAAGTTGCTTTACCAGGAACAGAAGTAGCGCTCATCAGGCTTATCCACTCTGCCATTAATACTCAGACCTAACGTTGAAGCGCTTAGTTACGAATGTTTGGTTGCTTGTTTAAAAATGTGGTGTGCAAGTACATATATATAGTTAACACATATATGCTAAATATAGCTTAATAAGAATGTAGGTTAAATGCTACATGCTAATTTTTGGTAAGAGGATTTTAAATTTAAGAATTTTTAACATTTAAAAAATGAATGTTGAACTCCATAAGTAATACTTTAGTAAAGGAAAATAAAGAAGCATTCCAACTACTATTTTCTTCGCTTACAGTTTAGTAAACACCAAATAGCTTTAATTTCTCTGAGTAATTAAGCTAGTGGATAAAGTTCTTTCATTTGATAACATTATTTCATAAAGAGCAAGTGACTTTATCGAGTACCCAAAAAGTAGAAGGTAAATGCTTCATATGAAATACATTTATTAAGTCGAGATGATAGGTTTATTCTAGAGCAGGAAAAGTGGAAAAAGCAATGTACTGA